AAAAAAAAAACAAAAGGTTGAAATAGGGCAGGGATTGGAAAGTCAGGTCTGTGCTGTAAATCTCAAAGATCCTTAGAGATGATTCTTGGAAGATATCAGACAGATGGCAGAGGCTGCTTTCTGGTACAGGGCCACCACTAACTCTATGGACCCTGGAGGGAACAATCCACAGTGACTGCTTGCTTCAAACAGACAACCACAGTGTGTCCATGCAGAGCAAAAGAATCTGGTTCAGAGTTTAATTTCTCAATCATTTAATGGCTTTTCACAGACTTACACTATTTTGAATTGTGAATGACGCTCACAAGAATGTTTACAACTGTAGAGAAATATGATACTTTTCTTTTGAAAGCTATTCCTCTTGTTCACTAAATACGTGCATACTGGAGGTATCCCAGTACGACAGAAGGAAAACCAATCTATAAGTGTAAAACTAATCAGTACGCTGATAGAATCTTTGAGTAAAGTCATTGGAATGTTCCTGAGAGATCAACATACAGTATGACTGTAAAGAGTAAGAAATAGCTGCTCTTTCTCAGAAGTGCTAAATTGCTACCTAAAGAGACAAGCTGCTTCCAAGTGTCCAATTGTTGAATCTGCTCAAAACATAATGATAGAATTCTTGATTTACATTGTTAAATACTACACTGAAAAAGTATTGAAAAATCGGAGTTTGAGCTTCCCTTTTTCTCATCTATTTTTTCATACTTTGATGCAGTCTGAGATCTGTTTCATCTTCTATTTTTGTAACTGACTGGTTGTGCTGATATTAGCATGGGTGACCTCAATTCAAAATGTACTATCTCTTGTTCACTGGAGTCTTCTATGTATCACAGGCTTCTATGTCTGATATATCTGAGGACTGTTATTCTGGTGCCTCTCTTCCTAATAATTTGAAGTGGTTATGGAGTTTTAGTTATTAAGAATGAGAAATACTCGCCTCTATTAAAGCACTGTGGATGTGATGTATGTGAAGATGCAACAGTGTCACCAGCCTCCAGAAAAGGAGTAACAGCCTTCCAACCTGGTGTGTAAAGGTCACAGAGGACCTGGCAGTGTACTATACAAGCTTTCAAAACAAAGAAATCAAATCAGAGTCCACTAGAAGACATTATGGTCAATTATTTTCACAGTGGCATATAGCATTGCCTGGAGTGTGCCGCAATTTCTTGTGTTACATGACGAAACTTATACTATTATACCTCTTAAGGGGAGAAAGGTTGAAAATTGACTGCAGAAAAGAACTGTCTATGGCTGCTGAAAACAAACAGTGAAGGACTTCGGTACTTTCTATAAAGTAGACTTTTTATTACACATGGCAGAACAGAGTATAAAATTAAATATCATTTAATTGCAGAGCATGCAAAAGAACAAACCCTTAAAGAGGAGTATCTGTTATTGCATTTTCCTTAAACCCTTTCTTTTCCTTCAATGGACATTCTTGCATTTATGTATACGATTGTGTGCGTAATTGTGTTCAGGTCTTTCAATCTTCACCTGAGCTTCCATTCAAAACAAGGAGAACAGAAAAAACATCACCAAAATCTTTTGCTTTCAAATTACTGGGGAAGCAGAAACAGTGGTGCATCATCAACTGCCAATAACCTCTTCATACATGCAAGATGTTATCATCATTTATTTTATCGAAAATCACTACATGCCACTTTGCGTGCAGTAAGCTGCTTTCAAGTATCATTTCTGTTTTACAGCAAAAAGAAACAAGCACACGACAGGCATTTAAAACGATCCTGAATATGCAGCTTCCCTCCCACACACCAGGAGAACAATCGCTGAAACAGTATCTCTTTAATACCAATTATATCTTAACTCCTTGCTTGCTGATTCTGCCATTACATTATTTTCACGAAAAAGGACATAGTGTAAGTATTGTGTATATTGATTATCAATGACCCAGGTAATTTCTGATATTGCAAATTCACCATTTGAATGACAAATTTAAGATCATGTTTTTACTCTTGCATTTATGCTCATTATTCCCAGGGAAAATTGAATAATTGGTGTAGTTTTACATCATGGGTTACTCGCCAAGATGTTTGAATGTGAAATATTAATGTTGATAATAATAGCCAAAATTCAAATTGTGAGAATAATAATTGGGCTTATATCTCAAAGCAAAATGTTTGGTTAAAATGTATTGCTATATATCAAATTGATCTTACATCTGTTATAGTTTCAGATCTGTAATGCCATCAATAAGTGAGCTGCAATTTCAGAGAAACTGAATGTGGTGAGTTAAACTTGAAGATGAGACTTGACAGGTAACACACAACAGGATCAAAGAGGAAATGTGACCAAGATACTAATATATGAAGAATTGGGTTCTGCAGCATTGCGAGTCTTGTATCCCTTAATCTGTATCCTGCTTTAGTACCAGACAGCAATACAGTTTACTGTCCCAATTTGCGTATGTGAAAAATAGAGCTGAGATGAAAGACTGTCCTGCAATTGCATGTCTCCAGGGAAAATTTTGGCCACTATTGTCCCACAGGCTGCACACAGTACCATTGAATGCTAACTATAATATCTCAGGTAGTCCTTGCTGCATGGGTTTCTGAAAATTAAACATAATGTGTGATTATGTAGCTTAAGTTGAGCTTTAGCGATATACAGTCTTTTTGGCTTTTAAGTGAATCAGTCATGAATATATCATATGAATCATAAATGAATCATATATGGATATTTTCATCACTCTTTTCTTTGGAAAATGTTTTTTAGGCTCAAGGTTCAGACAAGGAAGCACCAGTTGCGCTAAAAAACAGTTTTGTTGGTAAAAAAAGACAGACATGACTGTTCTCTGGGAATTCTTTGTTGATAGCCCGGACCAATAGTTAATTTACTGCTGGGGTTCTGTATGTGAAAAGTAGCACTGATATCCAGTTTTATTGTTTTTGAAGAATTGTTGTGTACTCATTTGAATCCTTATTTATTGCATATATGGTATTCTTTTTTCATAGCAAAATACCAAAGGCCAAAAACAAGTGAGGCCACTTGATTAATTTGCTTAATTTACAGTACACCACTTGGTACTGCAGACCCCAGATCAACTACAGAATACAAAGTAAGGTTATATGACAAAAGAAACTCAACATATACAATTAATTAGCAACACACCCTGGATTTTTGGTCAGAAGTAAATGTTCTTGCATTTTGTTTTTTGCAACACATGTTAAACAATTATACTTTTGGCTCTTTCATTATAATTCTGTGTCTGATGACAGTTTTCTGCACACGGGTGTTTGACAACTGAAGCTGGATTAAATTAATGACAGTTTACATCTGAAAAAATAACAAATAGGTCAGGGTCATATGAAAAGTCAAGATTAAACAAGCCTTCAACAATAGAAAAAGAAAAAAAATCCATCCATTTTAATTTCCGTTGTTGAGAAGGGTCGCGACATGAAAAACCGCCACAAAACGCTATTACTGTACACCCAGATTACAAATGCACTTTAAAAATCTCGATTATAGTTATAGGAAACTATTGCATGGTTGGACCATTTGTTGGTCGTGTTCCACAGGCATGACAAAAAGTTCACAACTTGCAACAAGTTGTGAAATTTGGCATCTGTCACTGCTTACTGTCTCATTTCAGTGCTGCCCCGGTGCTGAAATACACCGGATTGTCTTTTGCTTTTACGACACAACGTAATACCAGTGTAGTTTTAGATGGGTGTAGTGGAAAGTCGTTTATGTTAAGGATTTTTAACCACTACGTTAAAGAAAGAACATCAGAAATAGTCAATCTTGATGTTATCCATTTTTTTTCCGTTTCTTTTTGGAAAAAAAATCAAATAATTACTCGAGCTGTGTAATTAAAATGACACGGAGCTTGTATGTGGTTAACCCAGAAGATTGTGACCTTTTAAACAGTGACATCGCCATGGTAACAAATAATCTTTTTTGCTAAGGATCCACTTCAGAGAAACACCTTAAATTAATTTTCATGAGAACATGTGGGAGGGGGGTGCAGAGAGCTAGCTTTAGGGTGTCTGTCAGGCAGTGTGATTGGTATGACCCGCTGCAATCATACAAAAGAAATAATACACCATGTAGACAAGCAGCACGGATGACCGCGTTCTTTTCCTTCTCCTCCTGCAACAGGATTTCTGGATAGACTTTTTTTGCTCTCTAAAAACCAACTTACTAGCTTCTCGCTGATCCCGCTTGGCTTTCGAAGTTACCGGGAAAGAATAAGGTGAACTTTGCATTCTGTAGCTTCGAATGTTTCCTTTTTGAGTGAACAAAGGACTTAAGATGGAAAGGTCAGTGTAAAGTTTTGCGCGGTAGAGGCGAAAGATATAACGTTGGCTTTGTTCAGCAGATGAAGAACGATACTTCCCGGATTGTTCTTGTGAAAAATAAGTTTTAGGATCTAAGCTGCTGTACCTTACCTGCCGCCCGAACTCCTTCTGCAGGTCTTGTGAAACACATAACTGGTGGCTTCGCCTGTGTGTAAACTGATAATAGACTTTTTTTTTTGTAAGAGACATTTAACATTAAACCTGGGATTGAGATTTACCCGAAACAAGGACACGTTGATTTAACCATTCAAGGGGAGTTGCTAACAAAGTAAAGAACAATTTCTCAGACTTTTGAAGGCGGTGTGATTTGCATCACACGTTTATGCGAGCAGGGAGTTGCTCGCTACTCGAAAAGCATTGCCTCAGATTTCACAGATAAACGGTTGATAGTGGGTTCCTCTCGCCTTTTTAAAAGCTAATCAGCATAATTTAACCAAGGCACAGAAAGCAGTTCCTAATTATTTTTGTACTGTACTTTACAAGGGATTAACATTTCTTTGCTGCACTTTTGGGAATATAAAGACGCTGCAGACAGTCGCCTGCAGACTGATTTGAAGAGATTATGATGGATTAAAATTGCGAAGACCTTTTTATCAGTTGTTTTTTTCCTCCTTTCCAGCGGCTAACGATCTTTATTGGATTTTCTTCCTTTCTCTCCCTCTGTCTCGCTGCTCGCAGAATGGCTCGTTTTGGAGACGACGTGGCCGGCAGGCTGGGATCCGGGGATGGGGGCTCCGAGCGCAGCAGAAACAGGCAAGGAGTGGCGGTGTCTTCGGGTGGAGTTTCGGCAGCCTTTAAACAGTCAAAAGCCCAAAGAGCCCGCACCATGGCTCTCTACAACCCTATCCCTGTCAGGCAAAACTGTTTCACTGTCAACAGATCTCTGTTCATTTTTGGAGAAGACAACATTGTTAGAAAATACGCAAAGAAGATCATTGAGTGGCCATATCCTTTTAGCTAACGGTAAACCTTTTGTCGTAATGTTTCCCCCTGTAAAATAATTGCAGTTACCGCATGCCCATTTCAAAACGTTGTGGATGAGACAGTGTTTTCTTTACGGTGCTCGTCAGTTTACATTTTTTAGGTATTGATGATCTATTTGTGATATCTACTATATCATTCTCAAGCGAGAAATAACCAGAAATTAATGGAAGCCTCGGTTGGAAATTGGTTACGTCTGCATCGTCCAAGTATGGAAACCTGTTGTTTCACTTGTTGGGCTCATTTTGATACATAACTCGTTTTCTTATTATTGTACAAGATCCTGCTCCAATGAAAGTTAGTTGTTTTTTTTCCCACCAAACGACCTAATGCATCAAGTCTGTGTTAGGATAAAATAAAACGGTTTAAACCCTGGGAAATCCGTCATAATTACTGCGAATTTTGATTTTGCACGTATAAATACACTTATTACGATTTAACATACAATTAAACATTGTATGGAGAAGAAAACGATCGGTTAAGATATCAAAATACTTTAGCGTCTCAAACGCACGGGCGATATATTAATCCTAAAATAATATATCAGTTACCAAAAATGCAAAATTTAAAAAGCGCGGCAGACTTCAGCACCATGGACAGCTGCACTACCTAGTTTAGAATAACGGTCGTTGGACATTAGAGATTGGTTAAATTGCATAGATTTTGTCGTTCTGAATCGACAGCTTTGAAAATTAGAATTAATACAATGATTATACAGTTACAACAGTCCGTCTGAAAATCGCTCATGAGAAACAACACTCTCAGATCTTGCTCATTTAATATTACTGCAGTGTAACAAAAGCTGAAGGAGGCATGTCAAAATCACGCTGATGCAATAACTTTATTAAATAAACGATATGGTACAGTATGGTTACTGTTTAGCGAAATGACCACATAGCCTTTTTGAATGTTTTCAAAGTGTAAGATTGATTCACTTTTATTTAGTAAAAAATCTGATTGTACTCGGAGAGATGTTCCTCAGGTATCCACCTCAATACAAACTGAACCATGTACAGTACCAGATGTTGAATTTTCAATGGATAATCATAGCAAGAATTTCTTCATAATATTTCAGTGTTAAAGACAGTCGCTTTAACTACAGGATGAGATGTGTAGTGAGTGCAGAAATTTTATGGCACACCTCCCTGGAGAAAATATAACCTCAATCTCTGCCATGCTGTACTTGTTGATCAGGACTGCTTGCTTCCAGCTCTTACTATGTTGATTACTGAGCACAGAGATTTGTTTCTTTGAGATGGCTGGGCTAAGAGTGCACTGGCACTGTAGGGCTCCATTAATTTGACTTTGTAATGCACATTTACTTTCCATGGGTTTGCCTCACTGAAATCTGTACCGTTAAGTAGATGGTACATATAAGGAAGTGGGGTGGGGGTACATTGACTCATCAGCCTTCAGATCTCACAAGTTAGAAAAGTAGTAAACCAAGATGTTAGTTAAAATGTATGGTTTTCATGTTGGTTTCTAACATACTGTAGTATACTGTAGATGCTTTATAACCTGTTGACTTTTGGTCACATGTTAACAAAGTCCCTTAAAAGTGGTTAGTGATGGCAGGCCACATTTCAGGAAAGTGCTATATTAGGGTTCTCATTTTGAATATGTTCATCCTAAACATGCGTTGACTTTGGTGCTGTTGTGCATTACACCCTTAATTTTCACTTTAATTTATGCACAGCAGCCAGAAATAAAAAATACACCAACATATGGTCATTATTTTTAAGCAGAGTCTTGTGGATAAATCTGGATATGTTGAGTGATTTAAAAGGGAAAAGGTATTATGTTACCACATTAGAAACAATTACTTGCATGTGACATTAGGCAAAATGAGTGGTACTTTGTCCCTTGTCTTCTCATGCAATTGTTTTGCACGCTGCAAAAGGACTAGGTGTTGCTGTTAAATAACCACGCACATATTTTCTTTAGTTTTTCTGTGTCCATTCCTGTGTGGCTTGTCATGGCATTCCCGTCTTATATATGTCTTATGTGCTGCTTTCGTTTGCTTGGTCATGTTACTTTTTAAACCAAACTTGGAAAGAGCACACCTCTGCCATTTCATAAAGATGTATTACAGTGGTTATTTATTTGTACTCTACTGTTTTTGTCGTTGGCAGTAACTGGCAAATTAAGCACACCCCATCAGTCACTGTGATTTATGTATCCGAGTTAGTCATCTTTTAGTTCCTTTCTGGAAATCCCATGATGAAGTCAGATTGGATGTTTTTTTTTTCATGCAGATTCTCTTTTCCTTTTCACTTTTTAACATTAGTTGTTCTTACAGCAGTGAGTGAGATTTTTTTCACTATTGCTGAACAATACTTAAGGTAGTGGCTCCAGTGTTGTGGGACAGAGAGTAGACTTCTGTGTTTGTTTCCTTTAAAGTGAAACAAAAATTATCCTTAGTCAACTTTGTTTTAAGTAGTCAAAGGTATCTCATGTCAGATTTACAAGTTTTGTCCATTTAAAAAGTGGTATCAAAAGGTGCCTATATTAAGGAGTAGAAAGTATTATAATCAGTCATTTTTCTTTCTTTTTCTGTTGCTCATTTTGAATAATAAAGCAATAACAATGACAGTCCTTTTTAAACTTGTGCGATAATCACCACTTTCAATTTCAATGGAAGTTATGGGGTAGGATGGATTGGTGCTCCAAAAATACATATATTTCTAGATATTGAGTGCCATGACTAAATTAAAATGAGATGACTCAGTCTCAGTGATGCTACTTTGACACGAGGTGGTGTTGCAAGCAATTAAAGGTCTGAAACTGAACCTTTATTTTTAAAGAACGTTATTAACATTTAAGCATCTGAGCTAATAATCCTGAACCATTTGCATAATTGAACATGAAAAAAGTGTCATAAGGACGTGATACTAAGTGTTCAGGCACAGTCCTGTTATGTTTTAATTAACACAAAGGAGAAAAAGATCATAAGTTATAAAGGAATTTCATCACAAAAAAAGAAATAGGGGGTTTAAGGAGTAAAGAGTTCCACACGATGAGATGTGGACAGTGTCTGTTAAAATTAAATTACACCCTATAGTGTTGGCCATCTTTTGTGAATTGGCATTGTTCATAAGGTTCCTCAGATTTATTACAACTGTGCATAATGTTTTTGGTCATTGAATGTATTTAAATGAGATTGCAATATCAGGTGTCTTGACAGGCAGGACTGTAGTACAATAAATGTGTCCCTTCTTTGACAAATTTTAAATTGTGTTTAAGTTTCTATGAGTTCCCTATTTTAAAGTACATTTTTGTGTCAATTTAATTATGCTTTGTTCTTTTCTGTTTCTTTACTGATTATGCCTTTAGTGATTTAATTGTCTCTTGAATTCTTCTATTTTTTTAACTTTGTGCATGAAAGTGCTACTGTATATATAAATAAATAACTTAAAAACCAATAAGTGAAGCTGGTCTGGAGGCTCTGTAGCATACTGTATGTCCTCTCTCTTTCTTAAAACAAAAAACTGCCTCATTCCTCTTTCTGTGTTGAAACTACCCCTGCCCAAAGAGATTTCCCTCAGGTGTTTAGGACAGTCCATTCCAGGAGCTGTTTACAGTAATGTTTCATATCTGCTCTCAGTTTGTATACTGAGGATTCAGGTCCACATGGAATGCCAGATAGTGTGGCAGGACAAGTGTGCTTTTTGGTCACTCACTCTGAAGCTACTCGCCCATCAATATGTTTTATTGCATAGCTCCTCAGCAAGCTAAGGTACAGCTACTGTTCATGCACCTTTGCTAGCCTATTTGAGTGCCCATGTGTCTGGGTAGTATACTTCATATGTACCTAGCAGGGAGTACTAGGGTTCAGGATTGCCTTCCACTGTATTGATCATGCAGCTTTTTTTGGCTCATGGTTTGCTCTGAAATTTGGTTTCACTGCACATTTTTGTGTTAACAGTTTTTTGTTACATTGTCTTTCAGTGGCCTCCATTTCTGATTGTTCACAGAAGGTCTATAAGTGTCCAAATTTGAAACCCATGTGAATACTTACATTAGATTTATAGTTAGTTGAAATAGAATTGGAAATAAAGGGTCCTAAGGAAGGACACTGTTGGGGTGTAAGATTTGACCTAAATAGGAAGATTAACAATTAAAGAAGAGGAAGAATAGTTCTTCTGGTTTATGTCACTTTCTCAGATCGCTTAAAATAAAAGCTGATCTAATGTACACCCTTTACTTTAAATTATTATCTAAAGCTTCTTGCTTTTAGGACACAGATGCGAACATTTCAGAATTCTTCTGTCTTAATTGCTAAAGCCATAAAATTTTCACCCTTCAAAATGTAGTGCTATGTTGTAATATCCAGTTCTAGTATTTCAAAGCACTTTTTTCGCCTTTTTTTGGTGCAAGCAGTTTTGGGAGTTGATGTGTTATTTGTTCCAACTATTTATACACTCTCCCACCTGGGGCTAAAGAAAGAAAGATGTGAGGCAGCTGACAAGCACACATAGTCATTCATAGTGGAATGTGATAAAATAGGCTGGATCTGTCACTGTTTTTTTCGAACCCACTATTACACTTCCGGGTAGCATGGTGGCTCAATGGTTAGCATTGCAGTCTTGGAGTTCTCTGGGTTCAATTCCTAGTAAACTAACTGCACAGAGTTTGTATGATCTCGTCTTGTTAGAATGGAATTCCTCAAGGTTCCTCACTTTTCTCCCACTGTCCAAAGACATACTGTACTGGTGGGTTGAATACTTCTATGAAAATGGCCCTGCTGAATTTGGCACTGTGAGTGTATACGTTTGTGTCTGTGTGTGTGTGCCCTGCAATGGACCCATCCAGGATGTCTCCTGCCTTGTGCATATTGCTTGTCAGAATAGGCACTGGCGCCCCTGCAACCCTACTGTATATTGCATAAAATGGTTAGAAAATGGATGGATGGATAACACTTATTCTCTGCACCTTTAAACATTTCTTGGTTAAAAATCTCTACA